TTCTGGGTCATCCAGGTTTTCAGGGTATAAGTGTTCATAGTGATTTCCAGTGATGTTTCACTTCACTGGAGACAGTTCTAATTACACTGATTTGATCCCTAATTTAATTAAGTTGCATCTTCACCTGTTTCTTTTTGTCAAGATTAGCTAATGGCTCATCAATATTACTAACTTTTCAAAGTATCAACTCTTTGGTTGATCTTATGTATTATTCTTTTATGTCTATTTTATTAATTTCTTCCCTTCTCAATCTAGCTGAGTGCTTGCCTTCTTTCAGAGTCCTATTTCTGGCCCCATCCCACAGAGATTAAATATTGATTCCATATTTTAGTGAAAAATGATATCTAGTCTTTTTTTCCTCCATTAACCTTTTTGTTTGTTCTTCCCACTCCGGTTTTTAGACTTCTTCCTTTCTCTCCATAGGCCCCGTTCTAATATCAGGTATGCATGGCTCTGTGTGTGTGTGTAATCTGAGGTCAACATATGAGAGAAAACATACAATATCTGTTTTACTAATGCTGATTTATTTTGCTTAGTATTCTGTAAGTTATATAGTTGTGTTTTTCTTTACAGGTGAGTAAAATTCCATTTTGTATATACACCATATTTTGTTTTATTATTATCCATTGATGGGTACATAGGCTATTTCTATACGTTATGCATTATGACTAGTCCATCAATAAACTTGGATATGCAAGTAACTCTGTGGTATGCTGACTTACATTCTTTTGGGCGTACACTTAGGAGTGGTATAGATGGGATCTAGCTTGTTATTTTCGTTTTCTTTGATGATCTTTCATAGTGATTCTTATAGTAGCTGCATCAGCTATGATCTGTTCTCTTGACTACAACTCTTCTATTCAGGTGGGATGGAATCTTATAGCAATTATTTTTTGTTGTTATAGGAGACTAAGTATTGATTGGCTATTTGCATTTATTCTTTTATAAGAGCCTAGCAAACTCATTTTGTCATTTATTGATAAATGATCTAGTTTTGGTTAATTTTATAGAGTTTTTAATAAACTACATGTTCTGATACAAGTCCATTATCAGACGTATAGTTGGTGCAGATCTTCTCCCACTTTGTAGACTTCATCTTCCTTCTTTGATTTGATCTGTTGTGTGCAGAAGCTTTCCAATTTCATGTGTTCCTGTCTGTCAGTTTTGGAGAATAAATTGTTATATCTTTGATAATATAGTAATTTTCACAATATGATTTTCCCAGTTGCTAAATAGACAAGTTTTTCCTAACTGGCAATCACTTATTTCTTTAGTGTTTTCAAGTTTTCACTGTAGAGTTCTTTAACCTCCTTAGTTGACTTTATTTCTAGAAATTTCATTTTACTTTTTGAACCTAGTATGAACAGCATTTCCTTTTCTGAGTTCTTTATTAGCAAGTTCAATATTTGTATATAATAATTTGTAAGCTATTGATATTTTTTTAATGTTGACTTCATATCTTGCTGCTTTCTGAATGTGTTTGTCAGATCTAAAAATCTTGGGGAGTCATGAGTTTTTTATGCATAGAATCACAACATCTGCAAATAGGGACAATCTGACTATTTGACAATTTCCTTACTGTAACTCTCCTTCTCTTGATGTATTATTGCTCTAGGGAAATCTTCAAGCACAATATCTAATAAGAGTAGAGACTTTTTACTGATTTTAGAAACATTTTGTCCTTCATTCCTCCTTTAGCATAATATTGGCTTAAGGTTGTCATATACAGCTTTTATGATACCTAGGTATATTCATTATATTTCTGGTTTTGAAGAGCACTTTTCATGAAGGGGTGCTAGGATTTGTCAAAGACATTTTTCTGTATTTGTTTAGATGACTGTGTGATTTGTGTTCCTGAGTCTATTTATCTACTTACTGCTTTACTTCAGTGATTTGCTAACTTGAAATTTTCTTGCTTCCCTGTATGGTCATAACGACCATTGGCAATGCATTTTTACAGTGTTGCCAGATTTGCAAGTATTTATTGAAAATATTTGTTGCTCTCCTTGTCTGAGAGATTTGACTATTATTTTTTATTATGTGTTTTTCTGCTGCCTTCAGTTTCTATGGTTGTGATAAAACACTATTACCAAAAGCAACTCAGGGAGGAAAGGGTTTATTTCAACTTATAGTTCCACATCACAGTTCATCATCAAGGAAATTCAGGGCAGGAAATCAAGTCAGGAATCTGGAGGCAGGAATGGAAGCAGAAGCCATGGAGAAGTGCTGCTTACTGACTTGCTCCTTATGTTTTGCTTAGCCTTCTTTCTTATACACACAGGACCACTAGCCCAGAGGTGGCACTGACCATGGTGAACTGGGCCCTCCTACATCAATCACCAATCAAGTCAACACCCCATAGACTTGCCTATAGGCCAATCTTATGGAGGTATTTGTATTTTTTCCAAGATTCCCAGATATGTCTAAATTTGTGTCAACTTGACAAAAACTAACCAGCACATTTGCGTTGATCTCAGGATCATACTGGCTTCCTGTAATGGGGTTGGTCATGGTTCTCCCTTTCTATGTTATGGAATAATATGAGGAGCATTAATGTTGTCTTTGATTCAACAGTATGATATAATTCAGCAGCTCACCAATAATGTCTTTGTTGACTTTTTTTCCACAGCTTCCTTGGCCAGTCTTTAAAAACAGACCTATTGCGGGGTTTGGTGACATGTTCAGGTCCTTCACATCTCAGGACCTTGTTTACATAGCAAGTTCTGGGTCAACTGGTCAAATATGGGTCCCTGTTTCAAAAAGAAAAAAAAAAGTAAAAGAAAAAAAAATCTATTGGGTTGAAGTGGCCCAAAACATTATTAAAATATTTTTTCATTCTCTCTTTAGCTAGATTTTCCCAATCATTCATTCATTTACCTATTCTTAAATTCTTAGATTTAAAAAATATATATTTTCTCTGCTTCATTCCATCCATAGAATTATGGCCTAATGATATCCCTAGGCTTTGCTTTTTTTTTCTTTTTTTTTTTCAAAATCTTTGCCAATTTTTTTTAAAATGTCGTATTAAACCTTGAGTGTGTTTCTAGACCTCAGTTGAACTAGCTCTATATTTTAACAACTTCTCAAACCAAATTAACACTTTTATTTTCCAATTCTAGCCATATTGCCTTTGAAAACAACAACAACAACAACAGAACATGTGCTTATTCCCTGTTGTTTCATAGGACAAATACAAACTCTCCAAACTGATGCATATCATACTGTTTAATGCAACAGTAGCTCTCTCCTGGGGCTGGAGGGTAGTGGCTAGGGGAATCAAGCCAGGAAAATTCTTTTAATAAAATCACTGGATCGTTGAGGTGTTCCCTTTGACAGTATCTTAGGAAGGCATCAGTATGTCCCTTAAAAGAAGCCCCTGCCACTAAGGAGTAATTCAAATTGAGCCCTATCTGCAGTAAGTCTTTGGTACCACCTTACTGGTCAGTGCTGTCATAATTATCCATTTCATTTAATACTCTATCCCATCCTGACAACTTGAAAAGCATGGAGATACTGAGAAGAAAAGGGAAGAAACTTTGTAAGAACTGATTATCTCTTCCTTCCCTGCCATGTGATCAGTCACCAGAGGATGAGAGAAATACAACAAATAATTTGAATATGAGGTTAGAGCAAAGAAGCCTCCTTAGAACCAGATTGTATAGATGTTGAAGACAATGCTAAGTAAATGGGAACTCATAGGGGAATGGTTGAAGACAGCTATAAGGGAATTGTGCAACCATTTCATCCTTGTAACTGAGTAACCTAACACATTTCCAGTTGCTTGAAATCTTCAAGGTGCTGAGGGCAGTGCAGCTGTAATGTACTTGTGTTGTCTGTCAGTACACTGAGAACTTGACCCACCCAGAGTATATGGCTTTTGTAGTGTCCTGAAATGTCCATGCTTATTAACCCTCCTCTTTGATTCTAGTAACTGGAGTCAACTTGACTCATCAATACTCAGTGATTCTATAATGAGATATGAGTTGTCTTCTTTAAATATCTAGCTGTGGTTATTTGTGACAGATTTTGATAAGGAATAAGCCAAAGTTATTGGTACATTTTCTATATAAGGAACAAAAAATCTTTGATATTTTTTACTTTAACATTTATAAAATGTCAATTTTTAAAACAAAACCATTCATTCCTACAAAGCATGCATTCAAAAGGGATAAAATTAAAAGGTTTGAAGGAGTGGATGATCAATGGTTATCTCCAAAGCAGACAGGATGGATGAGAGATTAGCAGTTGTTTTGTTGGACCATGTTGCACTTCAGGACCTTGAGATAGGTACCAACTGTATTAGAATTTTCATTCAAGCAGTGGATCATGTTATAAAATATAAAAAGTGTGTATCTTCATCAGCTGCCTTCAAATCTGTTAGTCCTGGCCAAGTACAGTTGTTTTCATCTTTTTGTGTTCTATGGTGAACCCAATCTCCAAAACAGAATCCAGTAACTATTAGTATTTGTTTATCTGTATGCCTCTAAATGTTGAATTATAATTTGAGAAAAATTTAGAAGTGTAAAATGTCAGCTAAAGTTATTGATTTTCACGGTTTCTCTGAACATACTATTATTATGTCAGTCATCTAACCATTAGAATCAAGACCCATGTTCATGCTTTCTGACATGCAATTGATCCCAGATGAAGTATGCTGTAACAGGACTAGGCAGATGGAGAACCGAGAATCTGCTACTTAACTCTAGAAATGGATTTAAAGAAAAAAACAATGAAGGAACTAGTGTCCGTTCTCTGTGTTGTTCCTGTGCCCATTGTTCTGACATGTTCTGACAGTGCAACCTTGTCAACTTCCCACTTTTACCTCAATTGATATGTCATATAATGTATGTAGCCAATGCTTGCAGTGGGATGAGGATTGCATGTAAGGCTGTATGATGCAGGAAGAGGAGGGATTACTGAGATTAAAAAAAATGTGGAGCAGTCAGAAGGCTCACCTTACCTAGAAAAGGTGTCATCAAAGGTGCCTGTTTTCTAGAGATACCCTGTGTGTGACATGCTGGGTGCAGTGCTTCTTAGAAGCTTGGAGCTGCCTGCACTCCCTCAGTGCTAAAGCTGTCTACAGGATTGGATGCCTAAGTTTCAGTCTTGCAAAGGTAAGAGTTTCAAAAGTAGTTGTTCATTTTAGGGCACATCTTCCATGTAGGAGAAAAGCATTGAAGTTTAAAGAGATTGCTTGGCTTGATAAGTATCCACTTAAGTTCCTCAAGGAGTCCCCTGCCATTTTCCTCAGTGTCTCTGACGTTTGATAAGATGGTATCTCTGACTCCTTGTAGACCACTTATTTCAGTCACTAGATGGTGCAGGGGCTTTTCTGTGTGCTCAATATACTATGTACTAATCTCATTAGAACTTCAGGCCGAGCAAACAATCACATTAAAGGAAATGAAATACAGTAGCATTAGTTACATGTAGGCTTTTCTCCAAGAGACTGAAGTAGCACATTCCTTTGTGATTTCTGTATATATAAAACATTTCTCATCAATGATACATGTGGCAATGTAAAAATTTACATTTAACCCATTACTCTTATGTTGTCTAATTTGGTTGGGATTAAATGTGTCAAATCAATAGTGTGTGGTGTTCATATCAATGTAATTGCTCTCACCAAATGTTATCTTTTCTTTCATTCCTTTTTTTTTCAACTTACTATTAGCACAGTGGTTATTAATGAGAATTGCAAGCATTATAGAATACTTATACCACTAATAAAATCATGAAGGTAGAATACATTGTATGTATGAGGGAGTGCATACAGATATATAAGATGATGTTTAATATTTACATTAAGGTTGGTTCTGGCAGAGGTAGGACTGGCATATGTGTATTAGTTATCATAATAGAGGACATGGTTACAAACCTTAGCAACATCACAGTGTTTTCCAAGACTCTTCTTGTTTGGGTTTCTTTTGGTTAGGACAAGGGAGAGGGAAACCAGACCAGGAGACATGAACATGAAAGTAAAGAAGCAGAACAGTGAAGTACTGAAAGTCAAAAAGAGATGGTGTAGTGACCAGTGATGTGCAGGGCTGTCAATGAAAGTCCACTTATAACACATAAGAAATATAACTGAATTTTCATTTCCCTACATATACATGAGTGTATATTTAACTGTGGGTGTCATGTTCAGTTCAGTTTCTAACAGGCTAAGACATTGGTTAAAATCGTGTCATGTTCATGGACAATTTATGGACCCACTTCACTATAACCTAGCATTTCATTTTGCATACAGTATTTCACTGCGTTTCATTTTCCTTTGCTTGCCCTTTGTCTATTTTTCTTTTACCTATGTGATTACACATCTATCAGAGTTCCTGTAACCAGCTACATCACTGTAGAGACAGTGCACTGTTTCTGCTGTTTTGGTGAAAACCAAAGCTAAGGACTCACTTGGAAATTTAGAGTTTGGTCTTTGATTTTTGGAGTATCCAGAGAAGAAATGTTGAGAACCCCACCAATGAACTCCTGGTTCTGGCCGTACTTTTTATCGTGGGAATGGTGAAATATTTAATCAGTTAGAACTTGGGAATTCAGCAAAGAAATGCACGACCATATCATTAATATATATGCTAGGTGTATAATTTTAAAGAATGTATACTGTATAAAATCAAAATTAAGGCATTAAGAAAGTCAATATCTGCCTGTTTCCACCATTAAATCTGTAATCTTATTTCTTTCCTTTAAGTTTCTATTCTCCCATTCTCGTCTTCTCTTTACTACTCTTTATCACCCCTCTTAAAAGTTATTATTTGAAACACAAGTACTGAAACCAGTTAAAATTAGAAAATATTAAGTGTTTTAAGTATCATCTTTCTCTAATATTTGTGACAAATGCTGTAGTGCCTATATATCTATAGTCATTAGTCTCTCTGTAGTGTGTTGGTCCAAGTTGATGATTAACAAGGTATTATAATATCATGACTTTTATTTAAAATACTTCTGCATCTGTATTCTTGACCATACAAGGTTCATCAGGAATTCAGAATATAATTGTGTTTATTATGATAAAATCAGTCACAAAATTGGACATAATATTTTCATATTAGAAAAAATTAAAATATATAATATATATTAGAAAAATAAAAATTCTTTTAGTATGGTAAATTTTTGAGAGTTCATGAAACATCCACTTTGTTCTCCATTCGAGTAGCTGAAGTTTTCTTTTTCCTGTTAAAGTGTATCATTTGAAATTTGCTTCATGATGCTTTCTTGTTGAGCTGTGGTGAAGGCTCCTTTGGGGAAGAAATAAAAGAAGTACAAATTCAGTGGAAATTTCTGAAGACAGGTTATAAATGTAGATGACTGGAGAGTTGAGCAGTCAAACAATTCCCCAGGGGCCTGCTGCCAGTAGACAGGGTTTTGTTTTTGGAACAAAGGGTCATGGAGACTATGTTCTCCCACAGGAGCAGGCTTGACAGGAAGAAGAACAGCAGTGTCTCTGCTAAGTAAAATGACTCACTCATAGTAGACCTACCTATCTCTTGTGGCTGTAAGTAGTAATTCTGTGTAGGAAATCTTTGTCCGTTCCTGGCGCTCTCTGCATGATTTGGTTCTGTGTAACAGGAGTGCAAATAAACCTCTTGCACTGTGTACTTGTAACTCCATCATTGTCTTTGCACAGATAGATAGTTAGACAGAAGTGGGTGACATCCTGCATTTGGGATTTCCCCCCAAAATCCTTCCATGCATCGCAAATACTTGGAGCTTACAGTAATTCCTACTGAGTACTTTTTCAACCATCCAACCTCACAGTTCAATGTTTTCAGAACTTATAACTCATTTTTGGTTGTGAGATTTTCTACCATTTGTATTTTTTTAACTCAATGTCCAAAATGTACCTTTTAAACCCTGGTGTGACAAGGACAGCACAGTTCATCTGTTTGCTTCATCTTTACGACTGATGAGAATAGACACATGGTTGCTGGATTCCTCCTAATACCAAGAATGAAGAGAGCCCTGTCATAACCATGGTGCCTCAGACTGGCATTGCCATCTCCCCACTGTGCCCTCATTCATGTCTGTCCTCTGCTAAAAAAAGGAACTCTAGTATTTTAAATTTTTTCTCTTTTGTTAAATATAGATTCATACAATATGATCTGAATACAGTTTCCCCTCCCTCTACTCTCTCACATCTGGATCCACACCCTTTCTATCTCTCATTAGAAAAGAACAACCTTCTAAGAGATAACAGCAAAATCTAACAAAATAAAATATAATGAAATAAAGTGAAAACCATAATATTAAATTTGAACAACAGAAAATAGAACAGCCCCAAGAGAAGGCACAAAAATCAAAGGCCCACTCGTTTACACATTCAGGAGTCTCATAAATGTACTAAACTGAAAGCTATAGTATACATGCAGAGGACCTGGTGCTCTCTTGTGACCCTGTGACTGCTGCTTCAGTCTCTGTGAGTTCACATGGGCTTCGCTCAGTCTCATAGGGCCTTGTTCTCTTGGTGTCCTCCATTCCCTTGTCTCCCTGACTCCTTCTGCCTCCTTTCTCACAGGGTTCTCTGTGCTCTGAGGGGAGGGATAGCATTTTTTCTCTTTAAATTTGAGCTTTATAATAACCTTGTGAGAAGACTGGGCCTTGTAATCACAATCAAACTATATTGATGGAATAAATGGCTTCCATGGGTGATTTTCCCACAGACCTCTTACGAGCAGTGTCTGGAGGTAGGATACCGGTACGGCAGACTTTGTCCCTCACTGGTCCCATCAACAAACCCATGGGGTCCCACCATGTGTCTGTGCAGCAGAGACCACATCACAAGCCTCAAAGGTCAGTGTTAGTAGACATTGTGACTCTTACTTAAAAGAAGAGTACTTTGTCCTTGATATTTGAGACAAGGTCTGGCAGTTTGCCTTTACCCATTTCCCTGCTCTGTATAACAATCACCTTTCACATCTGTGACAGTGATCTGTGGTGGTTTTGCCATCATGTGAACAGATGCAGTCCTCTACCAAATCAATAATTTGTACTTTCAAGAGGAAAGTAACATGCATGTACCACATAAAGGGGCTTTATAACTTCAGTGGCACTATTCTATGCTGGTGATAGAAAAATGTCTCAGTAACTCAGTTCCACAAAACATTTTGCAAATGCAATTGGAAATGTCAAGCATAAAACTAGGTAATACTTTATGAAATGTGTGTGGGAAGATACCTAAATTCATGCAATGAATTAATTAAATATATAAACCTGTGCAATATGAAAGGTAACTAAACATTTAAATAAATGTAAAATTAAAATAATATTTTCAGAGTTCTTATTATTCCTAATTTTTCATAGAACATGATGTATCTCTCAATTTATTTTATAATCGATAAACACACACACACACACACTTTTCTTTAATCATCTTAGTTTTCTTATCCTGAGTTCTAACACATTAATTTTTGTCTTGCATTTTAGAAAATGTAAATTTTATAGTTGTTATTAATTCATCTTCTTGGATTAATTTCAAGAATATAAAGGCACATAGTTAGCACTAGTCTGCCGTTCTTTACACAAAGTCATTTGGTTTTACTCAGATTTTCAATGCTTTATCTGGCAAATGTCTGCTAGCACTGTCTACAATAGACTGTAGAATTGCAAGTTTCACTAGGTTGACTCAAGCTAGGCAGTTCATAGCAGTGACCAGGAACCAGAAAATCTTGCTTTTCCTCTTGGAGTTGTGACATATTGAACCCACAGACTCCTGTGGCCTCATCCCAGTCACACTTTTCAATTTCAGAACCACCACCATTTTTAGATAGATCATTCCTCATGCTGGAGCTGCCTGATGCATTGGAGGCTGTGTGGATGTCACCCTAGTTTCTATACATTAGATGCCAGTAATACATTCACATTTTCTCCTTAAGGAATTTGAGAGGACACAAAATGTAATCCGTGACTGATATGTAGAACTGAATTGTATTGTAAAATAAAATAAAAAAAAAATGTCTGTAGACATTGCCACATGTCTCTGGAAGAAGGGAGCCGTACCTGTTTGAGAGCTTCTTGCCTTTGTACCATTACTTTATATAGTAAGGATCACAAAGCTCTTTTAGATATAGTGTGACACTGAAGAAATTATTGCTATTCTTTCCAA